CTTACGTTTAGTACAACCAACATACTTGTAGAAGAAGTTCAGCACAGTAAAGGTAACCAACTATCTTATTTTTGTATATTTGTACATGTTGGGTCATATTAACATGTTCACTGTTCCTCATCCTCGTTGAACTGCTAATGGTTACTGTTGTCTACTATTTTATTTTGTACAATTATTTTGTTTATTTTTTGTTTGTAAACTGATTTTGTAACGACCCGATCGGTCGTTTTGAGCTCTAGCGTGTCGTTCGACGGTTTGAGGCCTTGAGTAGGTTCACTTCAGGTACTATGACTTATACGTGTATTCGGAATTGAATTTCGAAAAGTTCGGAGTTGATTCGGATGAAAAATTATAAATTCGGAAGGTTTAAGTTGGAAGAGTTGACTAAGGTTTGACTTTTGAGTAAACGACCTCGGAATCGGAATTTGAAGGTTCCAATAGGTTCGTATGATGATTTCGGACTTGGGCATATGTTCGTGTTGAGTATCGGGTCGCCCGGGAGTATTTCATCACTTATTATAGAAAGTTGACATTTTAAAGGTTTTAGAATTTCCTAAGTTTGGTTTGAGATGGACTTTGGTGTTATCGATATCCGTTTGGGGTTTCGAACCTTGGAATAGATTCGTATCGTGATTTATGACTTGTGCGTAAAGTTTGACGTCATTCCGGAATATTTAAGTATGAATGGGATGCGTTCGTCAAAGTTTGAAAGTTTAAAGAAAGATTTCGATCATCGATTCGTAGTTTTGATGCTGTTTGGTGTGATTTGAGGCCTAGAGCAGGTTTGTGTCATGTATTGAGACTTGTTGGTGTGATTGGACGGGGTCCCGGGGACCTCGGGTGTATTTTGGAGGGTCTACGGGTCATTTTTCCATGTTGAGCTGTTATTTTCTGAGGTCTGGTACGTCCTTCTTCGCGTTCGCAAGGAAAGGGTCGTATTCGCGAAGAGGAAAATGGGAGAAAGGAGTCTGTGAATCGCGTTCGCGGAGGCAGATTTGCGTTTGCGAAGAAGAAATTTCTGCTGCATAGGACTGACTTTGGAAGCCTATATCTTTCAATCTATAAGGAATTTGGAGATGATGTAAAAATGAAAGTTGTAGTCCTTGGTGACTAGTTTTTATAAAGGCAAATAATTTATCATTTGGAGTATTGTACAAAAGGTTATGACCATTATACTAGAGGCTGTCTGGAGGAGTTGGGCAGCTTGCTCTTCGCGATCGCGATTGGTTTTCCGCGATCGCGAAGGGCAATTTTGAGCTGAGAAAAGTTGTGCTTCACGATCGCAAAGAATTTTTCGCAATCGCGAAGGGTTAATACTTGGGCAAAAGCTATATTTCAGGGGTTTGGCTAATTTTCACCTCATTCCTTCCATGAGAGCCGACTTTAGGGCGATTTTGGAGTGCCATTTTCATCATCAAACTTTAGGTAAGTGATTTATAAGTGGATTAAAACATGAATATTTATGAAAATTGTGGGATTTTAAGAGATAGACCTAGAATTTGGTATTTTTAGATTTTTACCACGAAATTGGACATGGAATTGGGAATAAATCATTTATTTGAGTTCGTAGTGTTATGGGTAAAGTTTATCTTTGAATATTTTCGGAATTCGGGCACGTGGACCCGAGGGTTGACTTTATTGACTTTTCGAGCGGAGTTGAGAATTATTATCAATTAATTTATTATGAGTATTAAAGTATATTTTTATTGGTTTGCACATTGTTTGACTAGTTTTGGAGCGACGGGCATCGGTTTGAGGTGCTAGAGTGGTGTTGGAGCCAGTTATGGAACTTCGAAGTGAGGTAAGTCTAACTCTGTGAGGGGAAAAACTACTCCTAGGTGATGTATTTGATATGTGCTACTTGTTGGGGGGAGGGGGAGCTACGTACGCACGAGGTGACGAGAGTCCGCATGTAGCTAGATTCATGTTATGTCCAGCTAGACTTAGGTTCCTGCCATGCTATAACTGCACTATTTGAGCTGCCCCTTGCCTATTAAATTCCTATATTTTAAATTACAACTTGAGACTAGACTTGCGTAGAGTGATAGACTTGCTATTGTAGACATTTAACGGGCTTCATGATTAGCCGCGGAATAATTATACTCCTCTTACGAATTTCTCCCGTGCTATGCGTGTAACATCCCAAATTTTTACTAATATTTTCATTTTTGATTGAGCATCTTTATAATGAGGAAATATTTTTTACTTTGCACTTCCTAAACGTGAAATTTACAATACATGAAAATTCCTTACTATAGGTTGTATTAATACTGACAAAGAAGTTCCATGGTGTTGCTATGCGTAACACTTAATATTATTTTGATGAATTGTTATTAAATACATTATAATTAAGATTTTAGGCTGTCACTCTTTTGTATTTATCTAAGGATATTTAGTAGTTGGGCAGCCATTTGTATTTCATATTTATCCAAAAATTCTTAAAGACAACTTTGATTGACTTAGTCTTCCATAAACTCCCCATTTTTATTCTTTCAAGAGAAAAAAAAATCCCTACTCTCTCTCCTTATTATCACCTTAAAATCATGAAAAACACCATAAATTTCCACTAAACCAACCAACAAAATTCGTTCTTGGTGAAGCTCAAGTTGCTCCTCTCTTTTGTGGTAAGTTACTAAACCCGTTTTTACACTAGACAGCTATTAGTATTTTCTTCATATCTTGTAGTATAGAGCTCCGTATTAAGTGATTAAGGACTTTCTCGAAAGCTATTTTATATATGTATAACTTTTATGAAGGAACTAAAATCTGGTTTGTCTTTTATTTATCCAAAAATAGGTGATGAAGTACAAGGCAGGTGCTGCCCAGATTTTCTGATTTACAAACCCTGCCCGTACTACTGTTAATAAGTTTAGCATAACGTTTTGTACAAAATTGATATGGGAGTGATTCAAGATGTTCTGAAACGCTAAGACACATATCTACAACTATAAAGAAGACCACACAGTCTAGTTTATCCTTTTTCATCTTCAAATCTGAGTTATAACACGAGGTAGTGATACTGTCCAGAATTTCTATTTCAAACATTTTGGATAATTTTCACCAATATCATGTTTAGTTTGACATGTTAAATCACTGACTTTATATAGATATTTTATTATGTATTTAAGGTATATATATCCTTGTAAAATCTAAGGGGAAGTGTTTGAGGAAGTGGACGGATTTGGTTTGTCTAGGGCGTAGATGATTCGAACGTCCTCAAGTTGTGGTCGAACTATTTTGTGGTAAAACACCAAGGTTAGTGTATAAACTTTGTACTCTTTTTACTTGCTGGAATATTTTAAAATAACCTGATATTTTATTTTTCTTGTCTTTAATTAATAGCATTGTATTCGTGTTATATCAAGTATTACAAGATATTTGCTAAATCGTCCACTCGTACGGATTGTTTGATCATTTTGCATTCTTGTTGGGACTTTGTCCTTCTTGTGGCAGTGACTTTGTCACTCATCTTGGCATGCCTCTTGATTTGGAACTTTTTCCATCTTGACTTTGGATTTGTAGTTCGTCTTAAATTATGGAACTTGTCCGTGTTAAGTACGAACTAGGAAGCCATTTTTAATATGGTTCTTGATTCTCTTGACTATTGGGTTTTGACCCTACTTGATTTTGGGTTTCGGTCCATCTTGATATCTGATTTTGCTTAGTGTGATGGCATGACATACATATTGGGCGAAAAATAGATATTTGACAAGCTTTCTTGGATTGATAGTATACGTTTTCTCAACTCTTGAATCTTGAACATAGTTATTGATAATTGGAAACACTTCAAGGGTTGATATTTGATACTTTTAATATATTTGTTCACTTGTTTTAAATTATATTTCATTTGAGATACCTATGACTAAAAATGAGAATTGGAGAAGTTAATGGCTCCAAGCCCCCAAAGTTTATACGCCACTAAGCTTTATGCTTAACGATAGTTGTTTTCTATCGTAGGTAATGTACGGGATGGAATTTGAAGACGGCCTTATGAAATAGTCTTTTTGTGAGCACTTATGGAGATCACATTTGCATATGCACCATGGTTTTGTATAGTTTTGGGACTTGTACATGACACATATGTCACACTTATGTATGTTATTTGGAGGCTTGGATATTAAGACCAAAATCTTGTAACTTGAATTTGGTAACTTATTTTGTTATTTTAAGGTGTGTTAATAACTCAAGTCTTGTAATATGTTAAATTTACACTTTGTCTTATATATATGTACAAAGGAAAAAACTAGTTTTTCTTTTTATACATGATAGTTTGAAATTTATGTGCAATACAAACTTGTAGTGATGTCGAATGAAAGTATAATTTTGTTATGAAGTTGCTTTAACGTGTTGATTATTCAAGAAGGTTTATATCACCTTATGTTGAAATTTTGACATTGTATTTCATTTTAAAAAAATAAAATAAAAATTATGAAGAGTATTTTCGAAAATAAAAATATTGCACTTTGGACCTCATCGCATGGGCCTATTTCCGCTACTAAATTATTCTGAATAATTTTTTAATTAATATCTTCTTAATGTTGTAAGTAGTAAATTAGATTTGTTTCGTAAGTAGCACCCTCCCAAAGTGGTTGCTATAAGTTTTGGTATCAGAGCCTATGTTTGTGATTCTAAGATTTTTGTTGTGATCGTACTTAATATTTTTGTTATTTTTCTTCTTAAAAATGCTTGGAGATTATAAATTTTTGCACACTTGTTTAATGTAATTTGATGTATTACTTGTGCATATGCATCATGTACATGTCCCTAATGCAGTGTGATCTTATCTTTTATAGAAATTTAATATGGCCTCTTCTTCGAATTGAGCTATTGAATCCGTTGATGAAAGTCAGGCCTATTATAATGCTCCACCTCACCTCCAAGAAGGAGATGAGGTACCCTTGCCTAACCTAAATCATCATCGTGTTAGTGAAAATGAAGTGGACAATAATTCAAGAGCAATGGGTCATATTACTCCTATTATGACTCCTCCATTTCAGTAGATGGCTGAGTTCTTTCGTCACTTGGCTGGGACAATGTCAGAACCTAGTGAAATGAATTTTGAGAAGATGAGAAAAATGGGTGGAGTTGAATTTGATAGCACTACTGATCCCACGGTAGCTGAACAATGGCTCGAGCGCATGGAGAGAGTCTTTGAACAACTAGAGTGTACTAAAGTTGCCAAATTTAAGTATGCTATCTCTCTTTTACAAAACGATGCCTATGATTGGTGGGTAAGTATTTCAAATGCAAAAGCAAAATCTCCGATGCTGACTTGGGATGACTTTGTGAAAGCATTTCGTGCGAAATATGTCCCTCATGTCTATTGTGATTCAAAGAAAAAAGAGTTTCTGAATTTAAGACAAGGAAGTATGTCTATTGTAGAGTATCAACAAAAATTTCTCATGCTTTCTCGCTATGCTGGAGGTATTATTGATGGTGAAAGAGACAAGTGCAGAAAATTTGAAGAAGGTTTGAATGGTTACATTCAAAAATCTGTGGCAATCTTGCAACTTGAGGATTTTTCCAAGCTAATTTCAGCTGCTCTTACATGGGAAAGAATTGACAAGGAAAAATCTAGTAGGAGAGAAAATAAGTTTAGGAAGGGTAATTCAGATTATGGCGGTCCATCCAAAAAGGGAAAGTTTGACTATTCCAAGACTGAAAGTGCACAGAAGTCATCATATCATAAGCAGAATAAGCCAAATTTCTCTAATTCTAGTACTCCAAGTTATGGCCAAGGCAAAACTTATACACCTACTTGTGCACAGTGCGGAAAGAATCACTATGGTGTCTACAGAAGAGCTTCTTGTGCTTGTTTTAATTGTGGAAGTATGGATCATAAAGTGAAGGATTGTCCTAATCCTAATCCTCTTTCAGATACACATACAAAGGGTTCAGTTTAAAAGCCTATCACTACTCATTCTCAAGCTAATAGCGGTGCAAGACCTAGAAATATGCAAGCGGCGGGTTTGGGTGGAGCTAATCAGGCTAGTGGGTCGAGATCTACTGCACGAGTCTATGCTATGAGAAAGAAGAATGACCAATATGGCCCGGACGTGGTTGTTGGTAAATTTCACTTATTTGGCATATCTGTTGTTACATTATTTGATTCTGGATCTTCGCACTATTATGTTTGCTCATCACTTGCATTTTCTGATACTGTTAAATCTGTGAGACTTGACTTTGATGTGCTGGTCACGAGTCCATTAGGTCATCAGGCTATTGTTAACAAGATTTACCGAGATTGTCCATACATGATTCAAAATCTGGTCTTCCCTACAGACTTGCTTGAAATGCCCTTCCAAGACTATGATGTTATTGTTGGTATGGATTGGCTCCATAGGCACCATGCATTGGTTGATTGTAGGTTGAAGAAAGTGACTTTTAGAACTCTTGCATACTCACACATAGTAGTTCAAGGAGAAAGATCATTGACAACTAATATTATTTCTGTGGTCTTGGCAAGAAAGATGATTTGTCAAGGTTGTGATGCCTATCTTGCTCATATAGTCGATACACAATTGGGGAGTCCAAGTCTTAAGGACATACCAACTGTGTGCGACTTTCCTGCTGTATTTCCTGATGATCTTCCTGGGCTGCTTCTAGAAAGGGAGATTGAATTTTCTATAGAGCTTGTCCATGGAACTACTCCTATTTCTATCGCTCCTTATAGAATGGCTCCAGCTGAATTAAAAGAGTTAAAGGATCAATTGCAAGAACTTCTTGAGAAAGGTTTTATCCATCCTAGTATTTTGCCTTGGGGAGCTCGTGTTTTATTTGTGAAAAAGAAAGATGACACTCTTAGGCTTTGCATTGATTACCGGCAGCTGAACAAGGTAACAATCAAGAACAAATATCTACTTCCTAGAATCGATGGCTTGTTTGACCAACTGAAGTGTGCCAGCTTGTTCTCAAAAATTGACTTGAGGTCTGGATATTATCAATTGCGCGTGAGGGAGCAAGATGTTCCTAAAACTGCTTTTAGGACCAGGTATGGACATTAATTTTTGGTAATGCCATTTGGTTTGACAAATGCTCCTGCTGCATTTATGGATCTAATGAACCGTGTATTTAAGCCTTATCTTGATCAATTTGTGGTGGTGTTTATTGATGACATTTTAGTCTATTCCAAGAATAGAGAAGATCATGATAAGCATCTCCGGATTATCATGCAAATTCTGAAAGAGAGGCAACTCTACGCGAAGCTTTCCAAATGTGAATTTTGGCTGAGTGAAGTGGCATTTTAGGGGCATATTGTATCAGCTGAAGGTGTGAAGGTTGATCCTAGTAAGATTCAAGCTATTGTTGATTGGAAACCTCCTAAAACTTCAACTGAGATCAGAAGTTTCTTGGGTTTAGTAGGATATTATAGGAGGTTCGTGAAGGGCTTCTCTATTATAGCTTCTCCTTTGACCAAACTTTTGGGGAAAGACGCCAAATTTGTGTGGGACGACAAGTGTCAAGAGAGCTTTGAAAAGCTCAAATCCTTGTTGACACAAGCTCCAATACGTTTTTGCCAACTGAAGGGAAAGATTATGTGGTATACAGTGACACATCTCACCGTGGCTTGGGTTGTGTTTTGATGCAAAAAGGGAAAGTAATTGCTTATGCCTCTCGAAAGTTGAAATCGCATGAGTTGAATTATCCCACTCACGATCTCGAACTTGCTGCCATTGTTTTTGCCTTAAAAATTTGGAGGCATTACTTGTACGGGGAGAAATGTTACATATTTATTGATCACTAGAGTTTGAAGTACTTGGGTACACAAAAAGAGTTAAACTTGAGACAACGTAGATGGCTTGAACTCATCAAAGATTATGATTGCACGATTGATGATCATCCTGGTAAAGCTAATGTGGTTGCAGATGCGTTGAGTCGCAATTCCCTTGCAAGTTTAACTCTAAGTCCTTTGCCCTTGCTTCTTGAATTAAGAGCCATGAATATTTGTCTTTCATTTAATTCTAATGGTTCTATCATTGCTAATTTGCAAGTCAAGCCAGTCTTACTAGAGCAGGTCCAAGAAGCGTAGAAGTTAGATGCGAAGCTTGTGAAACGGGTTGAAGAAGTCCAAAATAGAAGAGAATCAGATTTTACATTGAAGAAAGATGATTCCTTATTTTATAAAAATAGGTTGTGTGTTCCTAATAATGATTAATTGAGGAATCATATCTTGATTGAAGCACATAGTTCGCCTTATGCAATGCATCCTGGAGGTACTAAAATGTACCAGACCATCAAGGAGCACTACTGGTGAAGTGGTATGAAGAAAGACATTGCAGAGTTCATTTCTAATTGCTTGGTATGTCAACAAATAAAAGTTGAACATCAAGTCCCAGCTGGTCTACTGCAACCCTTGTCAATACCTAAGTGGAAATGGGAAAGGATAAAGGAATCATGATGCAATTTGGGTCATTGTAGATAGACTAACTAAGAGTGCTCATTTCTTGGCAATCAGAATGGACTACTCACTGGAACGTTTGGCAGAATTATACATTAATGAGATTGTGAGGCTGGATGGAATCCCCGTTTCTATTGTGTCTGATAGAGATCCAAGGTTTACATCCAGATTTTTGGTCTAGCTTACAAGAAGCTTTGGGTTCTAGGTTGAATTTTAGTATCGCTTTCCATCCACAAACAGACGGCTAGTCTGAGGGGGTAATACAAATCATGGAGGATATGCTTCGAGCATGCATTATTGAGTTTGAGGGTAGTTGGGACAAACACTTAGCCCTGATAGAATTTGCTTACAATAATAGCTACCAATCAAGTATAGGCATTCCTCCTTATGAAGCTTTGTATGGGAGAAAATGTAGAACGCCTCTTTGTTGGAACGAGGTTGGTGAAAAAAATTTGGTGGGTCCTGAGATTGTTCAACAAACTGAAGATAAGGTAAAAATCATCAAGGATCGCTTAAAAATTGCCTCAAACAGACAAAATTCTTATGCTGATCTTAAAAGGCATGAAATTGAGTATAAAGCGGGTGATAAGGTATTTTTAAAGGTTTCTTCATGGAAGAAGATTATGAGATTTGGCCAAAAAGGTAAACTTAGTCCATAATTTATTGGACCTTATGAAGTACTTGAGAGAGTTGACCCAGTTGCTTATAAACTAGCTCTTCCACCAGAGTTAGACAAGATCCACAACGTCTTCCATGTTTATATGCTTAGAAGATACCTCTCAGATCCATCTCATGTTCTTCCTATTGAATCTATAGAGGTCAATCCTGATTTGACATATGGAGAAGAACAAATCCAAATCTTAGCGCGTGAGTTAAAAGAGCTTAGAAACAAGAGCATCCCCTAAGTGAAAGTTCTTTGGAAAAATCATTCTGGCGAAGAAGCTACCTGGGAGCGAGAAGAGGATATGCGAATTCAATATCCACATTTGTTTAGGGACTAGTACCAGGTAGATTTTGGGACAAAATTTATTTAAGGGGGAGAGAGTTGTAACACCCCAAATCTTTACTAATATTTGCATTTTCGATTGACAATCTTTATAATGAGGAAATATTTTTTACTTCGCACTTCCTAAACGTGAAATTTACAATACATGAAAATTCCTTACTCTAGGTTGTGTAAATACTGACAAAGAAGTTCCATGGTGTTGATATGCGTAACACTTAATATTATTTTGATAAATTGTTGTTAAATACATTATAATTAAGATTTTGGGCTGTCACTCTTTTGTATTTTTCTAAGGATATTTAGTAGTAGGGCATCCATTTGTATTTCATATTTATCCAAAAATTCTTAAAGACAAATTTAATTGACTTAGTCTTCCATAAACTCCCCATTTTCATTATTTCAAGAAAAAAGAAAACCCCTACTCTCTCTCCTTCTTATCACCTGAAAACTTCATGAAAACTACCATAAGTTTTCACTAAACCAACCAGCAAAATTCGTTCTTGGTGAAGCTCAAGTTGCTCCTTTCTTTTGTGGTAAGTTACTAAACTCGTTTTTACACTAGATAGCTATTAGTAATTTCTTCATATCTTATTGTATAGAGCTCAGTTTTAAGTGATCTTGGACTTTCTGGAAAGCTATTTCATAGATCTATAACTTTTATGGAGTAATAAAAATCTGGTTTGTCTTTTATTTACCCAAAAATAGGTGATGAAATACAGGGCAGGTGCTGCCCAGATTTTCTATTTTACAAACCCTCCTTGTACTACTGTTAGTAAGTTTAGCATAACTTTTTGTACAAAATTGATATGGGGGTGATTCAAGATGTTCTGAAATGCTAAGACACATATCTATAACTATAAAGGAGACCACACAGTCTAGTTTGTCCTTTTTAATCTTCAAATATGAGTCATAACACGAGGCAGTGATACTGTCCAGAATTTCTGTTTCAAACATTTTGGGTAATTTTTACCAATATCATGTTTAGTTTGACATGTTAAATCACTGAACTTATATAGATATTTTATTATATATTTAAGGTATATATATCATTGTAAAAGCTAAGGGGAAGTGTTTGAGGAAGTGGACGGATTTGGTTTGTTTAGGGCGTAGACGATTCGAACGTCCTCAAATTGTGGTTGAACTATTTTGTGGTAAAACACCAAGGTTTGTGTATAAACTTTGTATTCCTTTTACTTGCTGGAATATTTTGAAATAACCTGATATTTTATTTTTCTTATCTTCAATTAATAGCATTGTATTCGTGTTATATCAAGTATTGCAAGATATTTGCTAAATCGCCCACTCGTACGGATTGTTTGATCATTTTGCATTCTTGTTGGGACTTTGTCCTTCTTGTGGCAGTGACTTTGTCACTCATCTTGGCATGCCTCTTGATTTGGATCTTTTGCCATCTTGACTTTGGATTTGTAGTTCGTCTTAAATTATGGAACTTGTCCGTGTTAAGTACGAACTAGGAAGCCATTTTTAACATGGTTCTT